ATCATGCAGTATAATCCTGGCCTAGGCAATCTTCTCTGATTTGTAGTCTCCCATGCCTAGAGATTCAGGTCACTTAATAGTCCCCCTGCTAGGTTTATCCAGCTTCCAGAGACACTGGTGCTGCATTTTAAAACTTCCAAAAGCTACCTGCAGCTCAAGAGCCAAGACAGGCTCCTATTGCTGTAGTGTCATCAGGACAACCTGTGCAATACTATTGTAATCTGTGCTAGCATCATTATCTTTAAGTCACACAACAAAGTATCTTTGGGGTTGTTTATTCTAGCTGCTACCAGAATGTAGTGATGTATTTTGCAATAAAGAGCATCTTCTGATCAACAGAGCCTCTTTAGGTGAGGAAAGATTAAATACACTTTATAAAACTATGTGCTAACACCACAGCAGCTTGCAGATTCTGTATCAGCTTAACACTTGAATATAAGTCACCTATAAGAACTCGAAATTAACGTCCTACTGAACAAACCAGGCTATACAGCAAGCAATTAGCTGAGTGTACTAATCTGCTATCATCAGAGAAGCAGCAGAAGGATTTTCAGCCAGAAGCAAATTGGTCAGAGGTGACATTAAGCAAGAAATTCTGAAGCAAAGCCTTTTGTTATTTGCATTATTTTAGGAGGTGTTCCAAAAACAGGTGGATGTGCTGTTTCATGAGACGGTCTAGTGGTCAGGGGTTGTAGGGTGGACGGTTGGACTTGATGATCTTGAAGGTCTTTTCCAATCTTGATGGTTTGATAATTCTATGATCTAAGGTTCCACTTTATATAATAGTAACTTACATGCAAACAAAAACTCCTTTACTTTTAGGTAAATTTACAAAGAAATTACGACATTTTTAATTTTAAATATTTTTTTCACCAAATCAAAGATAACATAACTGCTAGTAGAACTGTTCATTTTCCTTTTGCTGTAGTATACTCAGCAACAAATACTACCAGTTCCCATGAATCTTTTGTTATGATATACAGATATAAGGCTCGTACTACAATTGTTCTTGTGCTTGACATGCTCAGACACATATTTCCAACTTTCAAAGACACAAAAGTAGTAGGTCTATAAAGAAAGAAAAGTTTTGCATGAGAAGAATAAGGTAAGAGTCTGCTGGGGAGGGGTATACATTAAATCTGAAGATCTTCTTCAGCATGCAAAGCACTTCATCCAGAAATCAGCTTCAGGTGTCATAAAAAGTGTTATAGTTCTTTGAACTCTAATTCCATTCACTAACTTAAAACCTTTACAACCCAAAAGCTTTACAAGAACTTTACAATTAAGGTATTTCTATAGAATCCCTTGATTTAAAACATGTCCAAAAAGTAAGCAATTTGTCAGCACTTCTAGGAAGCCCTTAAATTCCCTTTGTGGTGAGCAATACATCTAAAAGTGAGAAAAGCCAGTTCATTTTGATAGTGCTTCTTATGAAGAAAGCTGATCAAGCTGTCTAAAGGGTACTTTTTGGGGAACTGTAATGATGATAATGAAGTCTTTTCCTTGAGCACAAAAGATTGGAAAATGGCAGTGCAAATACACAATACTGCATTTTCAAGCAGTACTGGCTCACGAATCTGAAAAGATATGCCATTTTCTTTCCCCATCTCAAGTGCTATAGCAGAAAAACCTCTTTTCTACTTTCCTTACTTTCATGTGAGGGGTTCCTAAATCTGGTGTTCCCCTGCACTTGATGGTCTAACACCTGGGCCTTCCCCAGCAAAGAAGTCAAGATTACAGTGCCAGACTATGTGCTATTCCTATCTGCTCATCTTATTAAGAGGGTCTCATGTTTAACAAAGGTCAGAAATAAACAGTTTCAGAAAAGATGACTAGGATCCGGAAGCCTTCCTGAAACTGCCCTGAAACCCTCTGGCTCACTTCAAAAGAATGCTGAACAAGCACCCCATTCTCCTTCTCTTCATCTGAGGTCCCTGATCCTCTCTCCTGGTATACATATAATATTTCCTTGAGTATCAAGACAACTGTATGGATGAGAAAAATGAGAAGCTCAAACCTCCTCATAGAACATGGCAAGTAAGATGAGTCTAGACACTTTATAGATTCCTGAGGCTTCCTAGACAAAAATACCAGAGAAAAAATTCGACTTAGCTGCTGTGTCTCAGTTACCAACTAAGAAATATTTTCCGTTTGTACAAGTATTGCATTTCTCATTATTGATAACAAACAAAGGAACCAAGTCTAACTTCTACTCCAGTATTTCAATTATACATATAACCTCACACACAATTAACAGATAGTTTGGGCAGTGGTAGCAAAGGCTACCCCAACCAGTTATTCTTTAATTACTACTACTGTTGCTATAACATGTTCTGAAAGAGTCCAATCATATTCCTTTGAACTATCAAAACAACACTGCATAGTGACCTTCAGAGAATGACCAACTAGTATCTTACAACAGACAGGTTGCAAAAAAGACCAGAGTCTTGATGGAAAATTTAGTTTTTTCTACATGGGACACTGCCAAGAAAATGCATTATTCCTTACTGCATATGCGCTAGCTTATACTGTTCTTAACGTTTCATTTCAAAGTAGGCATTCTCACATTTCCAGTAAGATACATATAAAAATATACATATACACACAAGCACAGAACAGACAATAGTTTGGTACTCATATCAACTTGATTGTGATATACTTCTTGTAACCTACTTTAGATTAACTACAAAGAAACTTGAATGACAAACTAAATTATGACCTCACTGTAAGTTTTCTTGCTAAATAATTTCTTTTCATTAATTGCAAGAGTTTATAAAACTGCATCTGAAATAACCATCAACTGAGCATAACAGGAGATGGATCAGACTGCAGGAAAATGAGAATGGTTTTGCTTTTCCAAGTTTCAGATTGTATTAACTGTTCTGAGATCCTTTTATAGCTTATTTCTGCCACTGTCTGCCAGGCAACATTGTGAAACCAAAAGACATTTACAGGGCTGAAAAAATGTGAATATTAGTGAAAGAAGCATGCATACAGGAACAGTTTGGGGATTTTACTTATTTCTTATTTCTATCCCTGTGCTGATGCACCCTTCCACCTATGTTTCAAGCTTTGGAGGAAGTTCAGAAATGTAAACAGTTTCATTAAAAGCTAAGAGGTTTTCTGCCATAGAACTGCATCAGAGAACTGCAATTTTGCAATTTCTGCAAGACAGAAAGTTACTATATTAACTTCCTAAAACATACCCTTCATGTAACAACAGAAAGTGAACTCCACAAAGACTTAGAAGGAAAAAGATTTTATCCTTCAACTATAGTTGTAGGTTTTTCTTTGTTTTGTTTGGGTTTTTTTGTTTGTTGGGGAAGGAGGTTTGGTGTTAAAGAGTTTTTTGTTCCACTTGCTTTGTTTTAAACGTAGGCATACAGACAAATTCACTCCTACTACTTCAACAGATCATCACTATGGAAAAAGTTATGAGTTCACTTTACCTTTGATCTATTTCATTTTTCTTCTGGTAGTTTCCTCTTTGCGCAAAGCATTACGAAAGAGTGCAAAAGTACACAATCACCTAGTTTTGATCCCTGAGCATGTTACTGCACACATTTGGAAAATAAAAATAGCCTTCTAAAAAAAGAACAACTAGCTTGACAAGTGTGTTATTCCTAATGAGAATCCCTGTCTCTCTCCTACATGCCAAATGAAAAAGACTTTGACTCTGCTTTTCCTCCCTTTTGTCCTTAAGTTTTCAGATGGTATGCGGAAGGTGCATTCGTGTTACATCTTTTCTTGCATACCTAAATAATTTTAGAATCTAATAAAATAAAACTAATGCTATCATTGGTGCCAAGTTATACATTGTAAAGAAATGGGGAAAAGCATAAATCCATCCTTCTCGGATTTCCAAAGCTGGAAGTAAAAGAAATATCTTTCCTGCTTTCTTTCCATTTTTTCCTGTTACATCTTTCCATATTATCAAAGACCTATTAAAATCATGGAATAAAATATTCAAGATACAGTATTTCTATAAAGCTCATAAAATAAGCAATGTTTTACAAAGTTTCTTCTTTTGGAGGAAAAGACTCGATCATGCAAGTTCAACAAATTCTAACATAGAGCAGCTGCAGCCCTCATCTTTCCTAAGAAAAAAATCCATTGATTTTTTCCCAAAAAAAGTTGACTGAATAAAATACTTGAAATGGCAGTAAAATAATTTGTTTGCTTGTTCAGGAAAAAAAAAGGATAGTATAAATAAGATCTAGACTACAGATTTTTAAAAACTATTAAAAGTTTACACAGCATCAGGAATATTCCATCAGCCTTTCACTTCAAGAGACCAGTTGCTTTATCACAGATGACTACCTACAGGGTAACCTCAAGCTATCCATTTACATAACATCACCAAAACCACCACTGAATTTAGCATTTCTGGCAACTATAGCTTTGTCCAAGAACAGAACAAAAAGATTATACTGCAAGTCACATCCAGGGACTGAAATGAGAGCTGAGAACAATTAGACTTGTTCTAGGATGGGCTAGGCCAAAACACAGGACTTTTAAAAAGCCACCTGGGAGGTGGGGAGAGGAACTCTTCTGTACATTTTCTGGTTAAAGTGTTGAAATATGTCTCAAGTTGTTATTAACACAGTATATTGATTTCTTCCATTTCTTCTGCTGTTTCAATAAAGCATAAATATAAACAACAAAAAAGGTACGAAAAATTCCACAACTTAACCCTGCAGAGGCATAAGCCAACACACAGGCAGCTGATGGCCTTTCAAGCAGATTATATTGGATTTTACTTTACAACTTCTCCATTTCTTCTGCACTACCACCAAAATAAGTTTCTAGTACTTTTAAAAAATGTCTGATGTTTCCCAGTTTTTCTAAAAGTGCAAATAGTTTTCCACTCACTCTAATACAAAGAGAAGCAAATAATGCAAAATGGCTTAGGATAACTTATTAACAGTAGATCAGTCACTTAAAAACATTCAACAAACAATTTTAATATGTGTAGTTATTTTGTTTTAAAGAAGACTTACCCTCTTGCGGGATCTAAGGCAATTGCTCTGGGTTGATCCAATTCTTGCCAAAACAAAACCTTTCTCAGTGATCCATCTAAATTAGAAACTTCAATCCGATTTGTTTCAGAATCTGTCCAGTACAATTTCTCTCCCAGCCAGTCACATGCCAGCCCATCAGGTGACAGAAGTCCAGAAATGACCACATTTTGTACACTCCCAGATTTATTGAATTCTGTTCGTTTAATAGCTTCTTCGCTTACATCACTCCAGTATATCAACCCCTTCAAAAACACGAAGTCCACTGCTGCTGCGTCCTCCAAGCCACCCACGATCACTGTGGCGTTCTCCTTCCCATTCGCAGCATCCACCAGTCGCAGATCACGTCGGTTCGCGTACAGCAACAGCGGGGCAGCTTTACATGGGAGAAATAAGGGGGGGGGCAGACAGATTCATTAACACTTGCACTATGATGGTACATCAGGCCACAAACAGTAATTTAAAAATTTGTTTAAAACATTTTAAAAGGTGGGGGGACAATTTTAAGTTGGACAAAAAAGCACCAACTCTAAGCCTTTCAACAGTGCTATAACTCAAGATGGCAACTTTGTGATGGGTAGGTCATTACTCTGGGCTGTGCATTTTCAAAATAAGGTTAAAGAAGTAGGCAGAGAACAAAGAAAATTGAGGCTTTAAGTGCTTGAATGACACTTCTGTAGAGAAGGATGCTTAAATAAGAATCTGAAATACAAGGGTAAAGCCCACCTAAGTAAAGATTCAAGTTTGGGGTTTATTTGCTAGAATTTAGTAATACACACCACACTGCCATAAAAACATCATTCATGTCAAGGTATCAAAGCCATCTGTGTGTTCAAAATTACATATTTCAGACATTTTACATATAATATATACAAACAAAATTATTTGCACAACATGAGATGAGTGTTGTTTTAGAGTGTTGATGTTGGCATGGGGAGCTAAGGAGAAATATAAATCTACAGGGACAGACAACACTGAGTTCTTTCTAACTCAGTTCTATCACTGTTTAGTTGTCCAATACAAAGCCTTTATTTTATATGCTTTATTACTTACTCTTTTGGTTTGCACAGTCTGTATATTTTTCGTATAGAACACCCAAGCTGGCTAATGAAAAGTAGTAACCATGAAAACAGAGTTTCTCAAATGTGATACGGCTGTTTAAGTGTCTTTAACAACAAGCTATATATAGCATGATGAAAATTCCCACCTCATTCCTACTTAAAGTTAAAAAAATATAATTGTATAAAGCAGACAATCACATTCTTTTAAATCCACTATCAGAACACATTTCTACCTTTCCCTGAGTTTGCTCAGGCATCGTAGCAACAGAGCTGCTCAGCAGCATTTAGATACATACTATGATTGGAATCCTAAATCCTCCTCTACCTGTCACCACACAAATTTAACAAAAATCTTGCAGATTTATTCATCTGCATAGGTGGGCACTTTAAACATCTACTAGGATATATGTCTTAAACAAAAGACTTACATTTATAGAACCAAAGATGTGCATGGTTGAATAACATCAAGTGCGCGTTGCCAAGATCCAGTTCCTGATATAAGAAACTCACCCCAAAATCAGAAATACTAACACACACTTCAGAAAATTAAAAAACTAGTTTCCAAGATCAGTTTACTCCCCTCACTACCACAAAACTACTTAACAAAGACACTGCCACATGCATACTGGTAAAGGCTGAAGGACATAAGAAGTTCCTTAATCCGCCTTCAAATAAACAAGTTCTGCTATGTATGTTAGGAGGCTTTTTACTTATTTTCTTCCTTTTTAAAAAATAATTACAAAAAACCCACAAAAACCCCTAAATGTAGACTGCCATCCTAATTTTAGAAACACTGAATATAAATTGATTTAAAACACACTTTAGATAGAAAGTTACAAAAATGGAGAAGGGAGGGAAGTTTCGTTGCTTTTAATAATGCTAAATTTGTATTTCCCCATCCAGAAAGGATATTTTTACTGGGAAGCAAAACATTCAGTTTAGGGATTGTAATTCCATGGAAAAGGGGTAATTTCTTTAAATTAGAAAGCAGAATCCCTGTATTAAGTAGGTTTGTTGCCTTACTTCACCTTCCTTCCCATTCCCTAAAGATTTTAAATTAATTACAGCAGTTTCTTGAAGTGCAGATTGCTTATGATTATGGCATTTTTCAGAAAAAAAGTATTAAAACAACTGAAAGTGGTAAAAACTAGGTATGTGATAGACCCCTCTATTTTTTAAAGCCTGCATACAGCTGTAATCTGAAAAATCTAGTTAATAGCCAGCTCAATGTCATCTAGTGCACAATAGGAAAGTGTGCAGCTAACTGGCAGAGCTCTCTCTAGTAAGACAAAGACAGCACGCCCAGCATTTGAGAAAAGGTAAAATCCACGCAAAAATTAGTACAGGTTCTATTATGTGCAACACGGAGCAAAAGGACCCATGCACACAGCATGCACTGAACTGGAACACCAGGCATGCCAAGTGTAATCACTGAGGCCTGAAGGCACTGCAGAGCCTGACACAACACCCTGCATAGGTTATTCACTCCTTGCTGGAGCTCAAGACTGGCTGACGAAGGACTGGAGAAAACATTATTTTCATGAAAGATACAAGTTATTTGAATGAGGGCTCAGAAGAAACACAACTATACTTAGGATTTTTAGTTTCATGCAGATTGATTCAAAGACACAACTTGTAACACATTCCACAGGGCTGGCAGATAAGGATATTAACCTTTCCAACTTGTTGCAACACTCAGGAATGAAACATGCATCCCCAAAATAATAAAAACCAGGTTGTTCTCCCATCCCCTCCAACCCTTCCCATAAAACATGAAGGCTTCAACATCATATAAAACACAATTACTAAAGTTTGCAGGATTGGTACTTAGTATCATCTTTACCATTTACTTGACTCAAACAGCAATGCTAAAAGGAAAATAGTGGCAGAAGATCCCCTCCTGCCCCATATAAGTCACTTTAAAACAAGCACAGGACATTGAAAAGATGGCTTTCTTGAATAATGCAGCTATGAACTATACTAATAGTCTACAGGAAGAAGTCCAAGAGAAATTCCTTTCCAAGCTAAGCAACTATTTCACAGCTTAAATTACAGCAGGGCTAAAAGATACAACTCAGATTTTTTTAAGTAGTAAAGCTGATCTCTTTATGTATGTTTCTATTCCCCTTTCTAGAGAAATAACAAAATTACATATTTTAACTGTAACAAACTATATACACTGGAGAGAAGTACACCTTTTTAAAATTAAAGAAAAAACACCCATTTGCAAATCAACAACTGAAACATTACTAATATTACCATGGCTTCTATCATCTGAGACATCTAAATGTTGATTATTCTTCTAACTGAAGTACCCAATACAGATTAAAAACTGTGCTTAATTATAAAATAAGCTTTTTTATATCCACTGGCAGAAACAAACATTTGCTTAGACAACACAAAAGTTACAAAAACTGAAGTTTAACACATCTGAACTGCAACAAAAAACCAAATTAAATAATAAGAAACTCCTGCCAATACTGTGTCACTGAGCCTAGCTTCTTCTTATCTCCAATATTCACATAACACCTTCCCTAAATGTACCACATTCAGTATTAAAATTCAGCCATTGCCTGTTTTGCCCTACCTTTACAACTAGAAATCTATCTCACCACTGAACTTCAGTTCTTGTACCAAATATTTCTCTTGGCTACAGCTCTTTTTTCTCTCCCTAGCATACTGAAAGTTGCTAATCCCCAAGATCCTTAAATCTTGTTTCTCTTAACACTTGTTTACTGAATTCTTGCATTGTACATCTGATTTGTAAGCATCTGATACTAGCTTACAAAATGCTGCAACCCACAGGTTGAAAAGTGATGAACCAACATCTTTTTGCTGTACCAGAAAAAAAAAAATTGTTTTCTAATTATTATTTTTTTATTATTTAAATGACTACTTTAAGATACCAAAAGTTCTCTTCAACTAGTCCAGAGGCCTTTTTCACAAGTTCCTGCTTGCTCCCTTTCCACTTTCAATGATCCATGACACCTCTGGATGCCACAAGGTCAGTGTTACCTTCAACATATTCATCCTCCTTCATTGACGTGGAATTAAATTGCTGGTTAAAGCAATTAGCCTCGTCTCATTTTCCCCAAACTCTTTTTTCTCACTCCCAACCCTGAGCAATGCTGTTCTACCCCATCACTTAGTTAAGGGCCCCTCCCCAAGCTGATTCAAATCATTACGTCAGTGAAAGGTTTGACTGGGTTAGCGAGTTGAATTGACTCATGAAGTGGTCCAACAAACTCCAAAACTAACATAAGGCAAGCAGCAGGGAGCTGGAAGGGGGAGCAGCTCTCCCCCCTTCCACTGGCAGCCAGCTGTAGCTGCTCAAAACGCAACTACAGCCACATCTTTCTCCTTAGCTTCACTCTCAGCTGTCAGTTCCCCACCTCTCTTTTGAACTGGTACTAGCACTTGTCCCATACCAGAGAAAGACAATGCAGGGAGCTAAACCAGCAGAAGGTTACCATGCTCTCCCCCCACCTGCCAAAAAGTAGTTTGTAGCCAGCCATCGTCCAGAACCAGTAGAGAATGAAATCAGATAAAAACAAGTACTAGCATACTAGGGAAAGGGAGGACTGCATTAGCTTTGGCAAATTAGTTGCACCAGTTGCTTATGAACCTCCAATTTAGAAACAGGACTTGCCAGACTAGAGGTGGCCACTATAAACTGTGGCAACCTGCCCCAGAATCCCAATGTGGCCCAGCAGGTAATACTGGGAAACCACTCACATTGAAGGAAGAAATACCCATGCAGGATATTATCCACTGGCAAGAAACCCATGGATTGTTACACTGGAAGAGTATGACTTTGAGGTGGGAAGAGAAAACTCCCCACCTTTTAAAAGTCTTGCTGAGGAATTCTGAGCACCTAAAGCTGAATTGATACTGCCAAACACACTGTCACAAGGATGGCAAACTTGAGGACTGGAAAAGAGAAGATACAGTGATGAGATATGCCAGGCAAACACATGGTCCTAGATGAAGCACAGTAAGCATGAAGGATTTGCCAGATGCTTTGACGAAATGACATCCACCCACATTCAGCCCACAAGAAAAAGCAGATAAATGGGTATAGATAACCAACAAAGAGCATTAATTGCAACCTCCTCAAAACCATTCTACACACGAAACTCCTTGTATTGCAAGACAACTCTCCCCATTACCAATATGTCCCACAGAGAGCCAACACAAGAACATAAGAAAAACTCTCTATGGACTCAAGGGTTCTGGCAACTTCAGTTGTGAGAACTCTTTCTTCACTCCTCAGGTTTCAAATTTCTTCATCATAGCTATAATTATAA